TGTTTTGATTTATTTGCGGTGCGTATCTAAAAATCTGATTTCTGACATAGACATAGACATAGACATAGAAATATAATCAAATATTTCTTATATAATATTTATGAATTTTACTAACACTAATATACAATATACTAATATATAAATATTATGAAAGGTTATATTTTATTGCATTTATCATCACTAAGTAAGTCCTTAAACATTGGAGAGCGACGCCCATACAATACATATGGTATATATATTATAAATATTTATTTATAGTATATAAATATAGAATAAATCTTTAAATTAAAAAATTAAAATATAAATAATAAATAAATAATTATAAATATAATTATTCTTCTTCTTCCAGGTGCCTTGTCCGCTTCGAACGTTGGCTAACATGATTTTTATTTTGACTTTATCTACAGCTTCTCGAAAAAGTGATCTTGTGCTTTTATTAAACCATTGACGGAAATTCTTCAGCCCCATGATATCTTTCATCTCCAAGGTAACGTCTGCCTTCAATTCTGTCTTAAACCGAAGTACAAACGTATTTGTAATTTTTTCTGCCCAGCTTATTTTCAGCATACGTCGATAGCATCACATTTCAAAAGCATCGAGTTTATTCATCGATGCAACATACAGCGTCCAGGTCTCTGTCCCGAAAAGGAGTATAGAAAATATATAGCATCGTAGCATTCTTATTCTGAGCGGTAATGACAGCTTCAAGGTACACAGCAAGTTTTTTATCTTGATAAAAGAAGATCAATTCAATTCAGACACGTATTTCTTTACTATTAACCCATTGCTCATTAAGCTGGTATCCCAAGTAGTTGTACTTATCGGTTCTTTTTATAGTTGAACCAAATACTGTAAATCTTTCTCCGGAAATAGTTCGTTTGCAGCTGTTAATTTGAGACTACCTCAAGTGCATTTAGCGATTTTTACGATGGAAAATTCTAGTTGTACGCGATTTTATGAGCAAACACGGCACCATTGTCATCGCTCAGGCACCATATTCGCTAGATCTGGATCCGTGCGACTTTTTCCTGTTCCCGAAACTCAAATTGCCCCTTCGTGGTAAGCGTTTTGAGTCGATTGAATTTGTAAAAGAGAATTCGCTGAAGGAACTAAAAGCTATACCTTCACGGGACTACGAAAAGTGTGTGGAAGATTAGGTTAAGCGTTGGCATATGTGTATCGCTTCAGAAGGAGCATATTTTGAAGGAGATAAAATAAATTTGGAATAAAATTTAAATTTGTGTGTTTTATTTACAAAATCCGCGTACTTTTTGAGCAGAATGTATTAACTATTAATATATTTTATGACATAAATTCGAGACAAAAGAATTATTTTAATGAAAAAATGTTATTTTTTTTTTCTTTTATATATATTAATTTATTTGGAAGCATTTTGATTTTGTTTTAATTTATTTGTTTTTAGTTTTTATTTTACATTTTTAAATATTTTTATATTTTTTCTACCATATCTGTTCGTCGTTAATCTGTAGGCCTAATTTAGTTAATTGAAATTTTACCGCAGCAGAAAAAAATAAATGATTTTAATTTAACAAAACAAATTGTACTTTGAAAAAAAAACTAATACTGTTTAAACATATATTATGAAGAGATTAAATAATTTACATCGTTATCTGTAAAAATTTTTAATTATTTTTGTGTTGTGTAATTTTAGTAAAAATAAACAAACACTTCAGCCACACCTCAAACAAAAAGCCGAGCACAATTAAACTGAAATTGAAATTTAAGCGAGGAAATCGTTCCACATGCACTTCGCTGCATAGACACATCTCAGAGCCCGCAACCTTTGCTGATAACCAATTAACCTCAACAATTAAAACGCATAACTTATTCACGTCTTCAATTAACTCTACTTAAATTATTTAATAAAAATGAGCAAAAAAAAGAAAAAAAATTAAACAAAAATAAAAGTTAAAACCCAGAGTCAATTGCTGTTATGTTTTATGTGGCACATATTTTTTTATAGACTTTCTGGCTCCAGCTTGATTAAAATTGCTGGTAAAACATGTTTTAGTCTGCTTTTCTCCAAAGATTATAAAATACTTTTTTCGCTCAATAATGCACGTCAAGTAATCCACAGATATTTGCGAACAAACACGTGATTTAATCTAAATTGCATACGTGGGCATGACCAGTTAGGTTTTACACAGCTTTGCGTTATTATTTCAAGTTCTCCTACGATTTTCTTTGGCTCAGATACTTTTTTGCCAATGCGAATATTTTAGGAAAAAACAAAAAAAAAACAATTTGCTGATAGGGAACTAGTTGTGTTTCTATGTCATGTGTAGTTTAAAGTAATTCCTGTACTGGAATATTATCAACGATGGTTGAATGGGTGAATGGTTGAAGTGCAACCAGTAAATAACTCTCCGGAAATAGTAATGTAGAGCAAATATGGATATTGCGGCAATTTAAATAGGAAAAAGCTATATATGAAAACATTTTTAATTAGATTTGCACTGAATTGTAACACAGAAGATTGGAAACTCTTTTGGTTACATTTGCTTTACTGAACTTGTACAGATGCGTAGGTGGTGTAGGTTGTAAACTTCACTGAAATTCAGTGGCAGATATTTTATCTTCAAAATACACAGATTCAATCTTGTGTAGTCGAGGTATTTCACAATCATCAAAAAACCATGTTGACATCAGCATTTGTTCCTAAATAAGCTGTAAGACAAGCAAAGCAGTTGAAAAGACTTACAAACAACGTAAGCATTTGTGCCTGAAATAAATACCTTAAATATCTTCCAATTAAAGCGGCGTCGGTTATTCGTAGAAAACAATTGTATCTATGCATGCCTGAAGGCCAAAAGAATAAAAGGTCTTTGTTCACAATTTCAAAGACTTCATATTAGGTTTCTTATTTAGGAAAAACAGAATCATATTCAAAAAACATTTGAAAGGTAAATAAATTTTTTTTTTCTACAAAAAGGTTTTCTACGTAGTTTTTAAAAGGAATAGTTAAACATACAAAGCATTTAAAATAATAAAAATAAATAAAAAATCTAATAATAAAAATAATATGAGAGACAAAGGCATCGAGAATGAGTTAAGAGAGAGAGGGAGAATGAAATAAATTAGAAGAAAATAATGTCAATAAGTAAAAACTATTACAGAATATAGTATATACCTTCTGTTCAAAAAATATCCGGATTGTTAACTACTACTTAAGTAATAGACCTTTTTCAAAAATTAAAATATAATAAATAAAAAATCTAATAATAAAAATAATATGAGAGACAAAGGCATCGAGAATAAGTTAATAAAAGAGAGAGAGAGAAGGAAAAAAATTTGAAGAAAATAATGTTAATAAGTAAAAACTATTTAAGAATCTAGTATATACTAACTTATATACGAACCCAATATATCAAAATCATATAGAGGGGAGGTTAAAAAGTAGATAAAGCAATAAATTAGAAGTGAATAATAATTGCTTTATTAAAGAATGAAGTTTAATGTCTATTAGTCTCCGACATCATCTCCACCAAATCACATGCTAAGGTTAAGTAAGGTTAGGTCACTGTGGCAGTCAGTCTAATTGATCAACACGCTTATATCCTAAGGTCCATCATGCATTTTAGTAGAGAAGAATAATAATACAACAACAAAATTCATTGCAGAACGTGTTTTTTTAATATGTAATTTGTTTTTTATGTTTTTTTTTAATGAAATTGACTATATCATCACAATAAAAGATTTGAAAACATAATCACTTAAGAACGACAGTTGAATAAATTAGACAACTACGGATGAGATGTTCACTGTTTCCTCCTCTTTATAATTACTTAGTTTTTTTAATATTTATAAGCGACAACTTTTAGCCTGAAAGTATGTCCACAAATACTCAGTGACCAATTATGTAGGTCACAAACTTAGATTATAGGTTCACACAGCGTGAAAGACTATCTGGAGAACTAACAGTAAAAGCAAACCCTAAGGGAGAGCAAAAAAGAAGTCCAGTACTTTATCCAGGTTTGCAGTTAGTGCTAGGAAATATTTCAGTATACGGGTATTATGTCACGAGAAGTATTACTGCACTGTTAAAGCATATGTGCAAAGAAGGGAAGAATGGCAGTTAGAAAATTTAACAACGGGAAAACCAATTGGACACAACTAGGTAGAAAAAACTCAAGTGCTATCAAATTTTAATGGCAATGTGACAAGGGTAAAATTAGTGCTTAACGAAACGGTTGTCTATCTTCCAAAAGTGAAAAATTTAAGAGTGATTATTACATAAATCAATGCCAAATGGTCAAATCAAAAGAGGATGTCCTTTGCCACATCCAGAGAACATATTTGTATAAGATATAGTACGTATACACAAAGCCATAGAAAAAATAGATGAGGATTTGAGTAAGGGGGATAACGACGGAACGATTGAACGACTGAATTTTGAAATTTTTTTGAATTTGTGATGCAATTACTAAAGTAGTAATAGATGCTTTAAACCAAAGGATTTAAGATTTAGTAGCAGGTAGCACACCTGATCAATTGGCATATCTTGCTAAAGCATTGAAGTCAATAGTAGATAAGAATGCGGTGTCTGAAATTGTGCAGACACAGATGGAAAGTTGAATAAGCTTCTGAGTGCTGCAAGATCGAATTTGAATGATATAAGCACCAACAAGATAAGTTCAATATCAGAGACAACTGCAACAAAGATAGATTCTGTCAACGAAATCGGTACGCTTAGGATTAATTCCTTAGACGCTTTAAAAGGATCATCCAAAAGAGTATCCAATACATGAGATTGCTAGCAATTTGAAGGATATGTTTAGAAATTTAGTCATTGCAGATGATCTAACTTTTTGTTGAAAATTTAATTCAGCAACGATTAAAGTTAGCGAAATGACATGTTCGCTTAACGACTAAAAAATTTATTTGCATTAAGTACAATAATTGTATATTATTGCTATGTAATGTTAAGAATAGATTATAGATTATAAAGGTTTAGGAATATCATCTATACTTGCCCATTTTAATGCCTTTTTAAGTGATTCTGGTATTCCTCTAAAACGCTGAAATTTTATTCTTTCTTTTATTGTCTTGACTTTGTCTTTTACTCAGCGTATAATGTCCTCCAATCCATATTCTCCGTTTCAATAATAGCTGGTCTTTTAATGCTAATTTTACTGTAAATATCGATTTCAATAATATTGCAACTTACCATTTTTATAGTATCTGTAAAAATCCTTACATCTTCCCTGCTTTGCTGATTTCTGACAATTTTTAATAATTCTTCTGGAAGTGTGGAGATGAGATGATTCTAATAATGCATCTTTAACTGTCGTATCAGCTGATAATGAATAATACAGATAATTTCTTTTTATGCTCCAGCCAAATATTTTTGCTTTAATTCTTTTTTTGAAACGTTCATCATCATCATCTTTCTGCCTCTCCATTCCATAAAACTCTAAATTAGCTAAATTATCGAGATCTTCTCCCATTGCAAACTTCAGTACATTACTTTTTACTGCTTTATTTATTCTTTCTCTAAGCAAAAGTTCTCGCCATGCTGATACTTCTAAAATCTTCATTACTGGGTCACTTTCAATTAGTGCCGTAAAATATTTATCTTGACTTTTTAATTCTTCTTTCATCCGAGACAAAATTTCTTCGAAGTTTAATGGTTCGGTAATATCTGGCTGCTACATCTTTATACTGCAATTTCTTTAAAATGAATATTTTTTCCTCTGTGATTTTTATCTATTCGAGTTTGCAGCTACTGCTGCATAAATTTTCAGAGTAATATCTTCATTGATTGGCTTGTCAACTAATTCGAACAACCTCGACGCATAATTTCTCCGCATTATTCTGCTATTAATAGGAGTGGTTAATATATCAATAATTGATTGCTTTAAATGTTCTATTTCTTTCAGCTCTTTTCCTCATCCCACACATTTGTAGCTCGCAAATACATTTTTACCTCCACTTATCACTTTAGAGCCAGACAAAATCATATCTTCAGTCCTTGGTACACCTTATATTAGCTTCTCTCTCAGAGTTAAGATATTTCCTTTCCGACACACAGATTACCTTTTCTTAAATACATCACTACTTCCACTCATACAAACATGTGCCGGTATTCGTCGCAATAATCCCCTATACAAACGATTGTTTTACCCATATTTTAGTTTAAATCTATTCTTTTTGCTTTGAATTTTATTCCTTTTTTGTCATCTCTTTGTTTGATTCTCCTACTTTCAACGTCATTTTATCTTCTACATCTATCTTAAGATGGTGCTTTTCTTAGTTATATGAGAACTTTGTCCCATCTTTAAATACTACACTACTTATTTCCTTTTTATACCCATGGAAGCCAATCCTGCTCTTTTCCTATTTTGACCCGCACTCTTGCTTTTTAATAGTCTACTTCTTTAACTAGACCTATACGAATAACGTTCACTACCCTTCTATTTAACTCAGCAATCTCAAAATTATGGTCTAACACACACTTTTCCTTTCTCGATAGTATGCAGCGTAACTCCGCCTGAAAATATTGACTTGTCTACATGGTCTTCATGCACCCATTCTACCATTCACACTAAACATGCATCTAATTCTGGCTTGAAATCATCTCCTTCGCTGATATAAATTTTCCTGGTGAAACATTTTTCACGTTCCAAATATTATTATTTACTACACTTGCTGCATCTGCTGCTAATGACCTCACAATTATCGAAGCATTCTCTACTGTACTATCAACTACCACTCTCGCCTCAATTTCTCTGCTCCAGAATCTTTTCCGGTTCTAAACTCACAAGCTCTACACAAAACGCTGGCGGTAATAATTCTTTAATTATTGTTGAATACACTTCTATGTCTCTGGTATTTCTTCCTTTAGCATTGTACAAATCTTCTGATGTAGATCTCTCCAAAACATTAATTTATATATTCTAACTGTTGGTAAAAATATTTCTCAAATACTCTTTTCACTTCATTATCAACCAACTCTTTCATTATTTCCCGAACTTGCATGTTTATTATAATTTTATATATTGGTAACGGTGTCATATACATTCTTCTAAATATTCCTATATGACCATTTTTCATTATTGCTATAAATGCAACTTCTTTAGCTGGTCTATATCTTCCCTTGAATCTTCCCTTTTTTTCTGAATTGTGTATAATTATTAATGCCGTTTAAGTGGATCTCCTATGGCTTTATCAAAATTTCTTGATGCGCGCAATGATTATGTATTTAAAAGAATATTTGACTCAGAGAAGAATAAAGATATTCTCATTCATTTCTTGAACGATATTTAGGCTTACTAAATTATTAGCTACTATTCTCAGATTACCGCTAAAAAGCAGAGTATTATCGATGTTCTTAAGGGTCCAGATACATTATAGAGATGCAGTTCACTAAAACTAAAGGCTTCGAAAAACGTGCCTAATATTATGCTGATAATATTACTCAAGTCAAGCAGATCAAGGGGAAGATTATCATAACCTCAAGGAAGTAATATTTATAATTGTTGCTAATTGCATTATTTTTCCAGATAAGACTCAAATCAAATCATGTTATCTTGAATAAGAATGGCTTTGACTTAAAGCACGACTTAAAGAGCTTTTATTTCGTATTCATAGAACTACCAAAATTTACGAAGACGAAAGAAGACCAACTAGAAAATGTAGTAGAAAAATGGTTTTATTTTTTTCGATATGCAGCGGAAACAAGAGAAGAGAACTTAGATGAAATAGTTAGCAGTGACGTAATAATAAAACGAACATTTGAAGAGATGAATAAGTTTAATTGGTCACAAGAAGAATTACTAGCATATGAGCAAAGAAAAAAAATGTTCAATGGATGAGGTAGCTGCTTTCGCTAAAAAATTTGATGAGGGTATTAAGGTTGGGAAAGAAAGAGGCATCCAAATCAAACTTAAAAATTGTGAAATTAGGTTATTGCAGAGGATGAACAATAGGCTAAAATCTGTCGACATGGTAGCTGAATTTACTGGTCTTCCTCCAGCTGAAACAAAACAACTTTAAGAAGAAATTGTCTGACATGATTCTTATAGCTGCTTTCTGGTTTTTCTCTTAACTTTATGATCATTTTGTTGTGCATTACCTAAATTCAGTCCTTGCTCCGTTCTACCAGATGAGTTACTTGACTCAAGGCCTACATTAGTTATTTCGTCGTCTTCACTAATACTCTGTTCATCTAAGAAAGCAAAAGAAGCTTTTCTGACCTTTTTATATAATATATTAAACATCTCATGCTGATTATTTTTGATAAGATTGCTTAAATACTCTGTTTTGTTGCCTGCCTTATTAAAACAAAGATCATACAATTTTTCAAGGGTAGGGCAAATATTAAGTCCTATTCCATGTAATATCTTGGATAAACCCTTTGGCGTAAAAAGTTCTTTCTCGGCTAAGAAGTGATTTAAATGATTTTCTTTATAAAAATAGACTTTATGAAAACTTTTTAGAATAGAAGTGGCATTATTTCCTGACATGGACAATATATTGGATAAATAACTATACTTAAAACCCACCTTACGGAAATCAGCTAAAAGCTGCGTTTTGTTTCCTACCTCATCAAAACAAACATCATGAAAATCTTTTAAAGCAGAACAAATATTAGCTCTTACTCCATGCATTATATTACATAAATTGATCAGCGTAAAACCTTTTTTGTCATTCAAGAAATGGTTTAAATATTTTTTTGTTTCTCCTACAAAACAAAAATCGTGAAATTTTTCTATACAATCCGCTGCTCCACTTAATATACTGCATAAATCACATGGCCTAAAACCTGCCTTATAGAAGTCATCTAAAAGTTTTGTTCTGTTTCCGTCGTTATTAAAACAAACGCTATGCAACCTTTTAAAGATGGAAGAAGTATGAACTGCTGCTTTACATAGCATACAGGATATATTACTTGGCTCAAAACCTGCCTCATAGAAATCATCTAAAAGTTGTGTTCTTTTTCCTTCCTTATCAAAACAAACACTATGAAATTTTTCAAAAGCATACTTAGCACTAGCTCCTGCTCCACCTAAAATACTAGATAAATTATACATCGTAAATGTTTTTTCCTCATCTCTTTTCTCAATAAAATGCTTTAAATACTGCTTTTCATTTCCTTCCTCATCAAACCAAAGATCACATAAATCTTTAAAAGCTTTAGGAGCATTACTTCCTGCTCCACCTAGAATACTGTTTATATTAGATAGATTTATTCCTTCTTTCTCTAGAGTTTTCAAATATTGTGTTTTATTTCCTTTTTTATCAAACCAAAGGTTGTATAAATCTTTAAAAGCTTTTGCAGCACTAGTACCTGCTCCATGTAAAATACTAGATACAGTAAATAGATTTATTCCTTTTTCCTCTAGAGTTTTTAAATATTGCGTTTTATTTCCTTGCTTGTCAAACCAAAAGTCATATAAATCTTTAAAAGCTTTTGCAGCACTAGATCCTGCCCCACTTAAAATACTGGACATATTAGATAGATTCATTCCCCTTTTTTCTAAAGCATTTAAACACTGTTTTTTATTCCCTTGCTTATCAAAGAAAAAGTCATATAAGTCTTTAAAAGCTCTTGCAGCACTAGATCCTGCTCCACTTAAAATACTGGACATATTAGATAGATTTATGCCGTTTTCTTTTAGAGCTTCTAAACATTGTTTTTTATTTCCTTGCTTATCAAACCAAAGATCATATAAGTCTTTAAAAGCTTTTGCAGCATTAGCTCCTGATCCACCTAGTATATTGGACACATTAGATAGATTTATTCCTTCTTTCTCTAGAGTTTTTAAATATTGTTTTTTATTTCCTTGCTCATCAAACCAAAGCCCATATAAGTCTTTAAAAGCTTTTGCAGCTTTAGCTCCTGCTCGATGCAAGATACTAGACATATTAGATAGATTTATTCCTTCTTGCTCTAGAGTTTTTAAATGTTGTTTTTTGTTTCCTTGCTCATCAAACCAAAGATCATATAAGTCTTTAAAAGCTTTAGAAGCATTAGTTCCTGCTCCACCTAGAATACTGGATATATTAGATAGATTTATTCCTTCTTCCTCTAGAATTTTCAAATATTGTGTTCTATTTCCTTTTTTATCAAACCAAAGGTTGTACAAATCTTTAAAAGCTTTTGCAGCACTAGTTCCTGCTCCACTTAAAATACTGGACACACGAACTAGGTCTACTCCATTTTCTTCTAGTTTTATTAAATATTTTGTTTTTTTTCCGTTCGAATCAAACCAAAGATCATACAAGTCTTTAAAAGCTTTTGCAGCATTAGCTCTTGCACCATGCAAAATGCTTGATATATTAGATAGATTTATTCCTTCTTCTAGAGTTGTCAAGTGTTGCGTTTTATTTCCTTTTCCATCAAACCAAAAGTCATATAAGTCTCTAAAAGCTTTTACAGCACTATCTCCTGCTCCATGCAAAATACTGGATACAGTAGATAGATTTATTCCTTCTCTTTTAAGAACTTCTAGACACTTTTTTCCTTCTCCTTTCACTAAAAAACCTAAAAACTGATAAAACACAGACGTTCCTTCTCTGCCAACCACACTTTTAGCAAATTTAAATTCCTCATTAATGTCTTTATTTTGAATCTCCTGATAACTAGACCTTTTATTTTTGATATCTTCTAAAAGCTTTTCTATTATTTCTTTTCTGACAGGACCAAACTCATGAGATTCTAACCAACGTAATGCTATTTCATGTAACTCGTCGCAATTATATGGAATATTAGACTGATTATTTATCTTATCTCTAATAACACTATTCAACTCTTCCCTATTAGACTGGTTGACCACAAATACTAATGTATCTAAAAATTTCTCTTTTGTTTCTTTTTCATTCACATTCTGTAAAGAAGGTGGAAGCTTTAATAGACCTAAAAGCTTTTTTCTTGTTTTTTCCTCTTGCGAAAATTGATAAAGATCATTCCCACCTATACATGAGTAATCCTTTAAAATTTTAAACTTCTTCTTTCGCATATTCATAATATCAAATTTTAAAGGATAAAAATCTTTAGATTGCCCCGGTTTTAATTCCATTTCTTCCGTAAGATCTAGAACTGCATTAGTATAGATAATAAAATATTCTATACTTTCTCCTAAGTTTTCAACAAAAAGTGTAAAAAGCCTATCAAGAGAAAACGTATTATTCTGTTGTTTGGACGGAAATAACTGACTATAATCAATGTTACTATCTGCATTGTGTGCCTCCAAGTAAGTAGGCCTACCTTTATAATTGATAGTAATATTATTAGGTGTGTCAAGGTTTTCTCCTTCAAAATTTATGGAAAATATATTTTTATTCAAGAACATGTCATGCAAAAAGAGCATTAATAAATTAAATTCATATATAATTCCAGATATATAGTTTCCAAGTTTTTTATGCTCTTCTAAATTACTTAATATTGTTTCTTGTAGTGTAATATAATTGTCATGAACTTCATTATTTCTTTTCATTTCACTTCTAATAATATTGTTCAACTCTTCTCTATTAGGTTGATTAACTGCAAATACTAATTTATCTAGAAATGCTTCTTTTATTTCTTTTTCAAATCCCTGAGAAAACTCTCTTTTTTTTATTACTCTCTGCACGGCAGGCGAGAATTCTAATCGCTTTAAGAGTTCTTCTCTCGTGGTTTTATCTTGTGAGAACTGATAAAAACCATGCCCTTGTATGTCATTACTTGTAAATAAAAAGTTTTTTAGAATGTCATTTTCCTCTACATTTATGCTACAAAATTTAAAAGGATAATAGTTTTTGGATCGTCCTTGTTTTAATTCCTTTTCTTCTGTAAGATCCAAGCCTGAATTAGTATAGACAATAAGATATTTCACATTATATAAACTATCTGACTTAGAGATTAGATGTTTAACAAAACTATCAAAGTAACTATTAATAGAAGCACTTCGTCTTTCTTTGTTAAATAACCTAGTATAACTGATATTACTATCTATATAATTATCCAGATTTTGAACTTGTATATGAATAGACTTCTCCTTATAGCGCAGAACAATATTACTAAATTTGTCAATTTCATCATCTCCAAACGCTACTGACAATAAAGGATATTTATGTTCATATGTAGACTTTCTAAGTAAGCACAACACTGATAAGTCTAACTGATACATAAGTTCAATCAAATGATGAGGAATGTGTCGTTTAGCATTAAGCAGTTCATCCTGTTCGGGTCTATCCTGTAAATCACTACAAGATTCTAAATCTTCATTACTAACAACATTTACATCCATGCGCGCCCTTTTTGGTGCTTTATTATCTTTATCCGTAACAGAACGCCCACGTTTCCTACCCGTTTTATGATTTTCCTTACCAGGACTTCTTGAGCAATCACTTTGGCTGTATGTGGGGTTTTCAATGTGTTGTAATGGTGTAGAAATGAAAGATTGAGAAATATTTTTTGAACTTGAACCTATTACATTACCGTAAGCTTCCTCTCTAGATACTTTTATGCTTCTCTTTATATCTTTTTTAATATTACTAAGAAGTGGTACAAAATGGTTCTTGTAATTCACTATGTAAATAACATTGTTACCTGTACCTACCTTACTTTTAATAACATCTAAACCATCTATCTCTTTATCTCTCAATTCTATAGTCCTAACTTTCACGCCATACTTTTCGCATATCATTTTTCCTTCAACTTCAGGTCGTCCCCATATAGCATTTTCTAACTTTTGAATTTTTGTTCTTGAACCAGAGCATGTATTGTCAATATCTTCTGCAGTAAATTCAATACGCGGAATATATTCACAAAGTTTTTCACCTTCTCCTTTTAAAGCACTACTCAACCATGAACCTTTTTTTGATTGATTAACTTGTTGTGCATATTGCTTACAATTTTCCCGCAAAGACTTTACACTAAATCCTTTACTACCTGCAATCAGACCTTTATCTTTTAGCTCGTCCAATCCTTGAGCTATGGAATCAAAGAAACAATCCTCTTCACCTACAGCAGCTCCTATCTTAAAGCCCTCAGGCAATTTCATCCTTAGTATCTCTAAAAGTTGATTAAGCTTCTTTTTTTCCTCTTTATCACTTGCATTTTTTACCCTACTAAAAATGGAAATAGGATCTCTAGTAACGAAATCTGGCTTGTTTAGAATGCTCCCACTACTAGGTGATTTACCGGACTCTTTACCCCCTGCTAACATATCGACTCACTATCTTTTTATGAGTAAAACGGTATTTCAATAAGTATCTGTTTCAATATTTTCTGTCTTGTCGCATAAATCTAAAAATGGAGAAGAAGCTGCTATTTAACGAATTCTACTTTCTATTATAAATAGATCTATAGTCTGAAAATGGCAAATTGGCAGAAAATGAATTTGGAATTGTTAATTTTGGTGATATAAGATTAAGTAGGAGACTTTTAAAAATAATTAATAGTTTTGCTGAGCGTTTAATAAATCAGGCTTGTGAAGATTGGCATCAAATTAAAGCAGCTTATAGATTTTTCCAAAACGTTGCTATTTCTGAAAGAAAGATATTGAACAATCATATAATTAAAACCGTTGAAAGAGCTAAAAAAAAGCTCAACTATCTTAGCTAAAAAAACCAAAGGATTAGGGACTATAGCAGCAAGATTAACATCTATAACAACTAACTTTAAAACCCATGATACATACAAGGTTTGCAGTTACAGCAGAAAATCTATTAGATCAATTATAAATTATTAGATCAAAAAATTAGTACTAATACTGCTATTCCTATAAAAAAGAACGAAAGCAACCGATGTCACTTAAAGATTCTACTCACTATCCTGGATTAAAGAACGTTAAGGTAGTAACCGTCGCTTCCACTAATCAATCTCTATTTTTGTAGTAAAAAGAAATCAAAACAGAACAGTAAATACAGTGTAAGATAATGAAGGGATACATTCTACCGCTTCAAAGATCTGTATGAAAAGGAGGAGAAATGGAAGAGGATATATAAAAAGCAGTAATTGATATAGCAATAGACTTTCCAGCATAAGGATAAGAAAGAGCAGCAAACAAACTGGAAAAGAGTGGAATTCTCATCTCTGCAAGTGGAATAAGATCGGTGTGGCAAAGAAATCATTTTGAAAATTTCAAAAAGAAGTGAAAGGCATTCAAAGACGGCAAGATCTTAACAGAAAAGCAGACAACAGCTCTAGAGAAGGGTGAGGAAGGAAAAGAGGCCCATGGAGAAATTGAAACAGAACATTCTGGATACTTGGGTGGCAGAGATAGCTGTAATAACAAAGGTATTGGATACTAGTACAGTGTACTGTGGCAGACCTGAAAATCACGCTTACCAGCTGTATTTGAGGATATTGATCATTCTCAAACTTAAGCTCGTTCTCAACAAACTAATGGCATATGTGAAAAATTTTACAGAACTATGGAAGATCAATATTATCTTCAGAAAGAAAATTTACACCTCTTTGGTAGATATACACGAACAGCATTTACACGACACTCTTCAATCCCTACTCCAAAAGAATCTGCATAGAAAAAAACATCTTCCTGCTCATTAGTATGGATAGCAACCAATGTTACCCAGTGGTTACCATCTTTATTGACAATGTATATTAATGTTTTGTCTTTATTCTTCTTGAACTTATCTAATTTCTCTAGTAGCAGCCCACAACCTTCAACTCCAAAAATTATATTACTACTTTCAGTCCATCCATAGATGTGCTTTGCAATACCCGAGATAGTGTAATTTTTAAGACAAAGTTGGTAGTTATTACCTGTCAAGCTCCTTTCAAAATCTTCATCCAGAAGATGTCCATCTGAAGCACGACTCCTCTTATTTTGATCCTTTGTACTAGTTCTTTCTTCTAATCTTGATAACTTCTTTTGTATCTCATTTATAGTACCACTTCTATGTTCCCCATTTCTTGGATCTGGTGAACGATTTTCCTTGTCTTGCAAGGACTCCTGCTCTATAGCCTCTTGTAAGTTCATTATATTACGCAAAGGTACTGCAGATAGTTTCCTTCCTTTCCAAATATTAAGAAACTCTACTCCTCCAGTATAAACAGCCATCAACGCATAATAAACTGCCCACCAACCACAGTCACTTCCATTCATTTGCTGACCAGTTAGTTGGTTATTATCATTTAAAACTATTTCTTTCTCTTTACAAAAAGGGAGCAATGTTACAGTAGTCTGATCTTCGACAAAGATTGTACCCTTAGTCAAACCCTCCTTTAATCTTTCAGGAATCTTTTTTTTAGCAAAAGAATCAAAAAAGAAAACTTGATACTGATCATTACTTATTTCTTCACTCAATAAATTTCCATATTTTTTAGGCAGCAATACCCAGCTAATCCAGTGAAAACCTCCTTCTTTTTTATCAATACCTGTAGGATCATTAGCAAGAACTGTTTCAGTGTTAGCTATAAAAATAAAAAGCTTATATAACTCAGTACCATAATGATCATTTATTTTAGAATTATCTACAACTCTTCGACAAATATGTTTCAGTGAATCTCTAATATCCTCCTCTTCATTAAACCCGAAGTTAATAGGACTAATATAATAGGCAAGCTGATTATTATTATTTGCAATTGCCTTGTTCATAAAATTGTTTATATGATCAATATCTGCCCATCCTCTAGAATTACCTGAATCATCACTACCAAATGTTACTTGGTTTAACCCATGATAAATATCAATTGCAGTAAGATGAATTTTGCCTTGTAAAGAATCGCGATTAGATTGGTTCTGTGCTTGTGACTGCTGTTCTGCTCCTTCTTCGAGATCATAATTTTTGATATCTTCAATCAAAGAAGGACTTTCTTCATCTGCTATACCATAAACCTCTTCTCTAGAAACTAGTATAGCTCCTTCAATATCTTCTTCGAGGTTACTAAGAAGTGGTACAAAATGATTCTTGTAATTTACCATAGTAATAACATTAGTACCTTCGCCTTGTTCGCTTTCAATAACATTTGTATCACCTATAGGTTGTTCTTTAAGTCCTATCACTTTAATTTTTACTTTATATTTGTCACATATCTTTCTTCCTTCAATATCTAGTCTTCCCCGTATAGGAATAGGACCATTTTCTGTAGCCACACTTTTAATATAGTCCAAGTATTTGTCAAAAGTCTCCTGCACATCTGGAACATCATTTCCCTTTTTATCCATAATATTTTCAAGATGAGGAAAAGCAATATTCTTCTGTGGAACAAAATAGCCACCTTCATTTGCATCCTTTACAATTTTATCTTCGTATTTTCTAGCATCATTTGCACAATCTTTTCTTAATGATTTTACATTAAACCTTTCACTATTTTCGACTAGACCTTTATCTTTTAGCTCATTCAATCCTTGAGCAACTGAATCAAATAAACAATCCTCTTCACCCACAGCAGCTCCGATCTTAAAGCCCTCAGGCAATTTCTTCCTTAATGCATCTAAAAGTTGATTGAGCTTTTCTTTTTTCTCTTTATCATCCTTTACATTTTTTATCTGACTAAAAATGGGAATAGAGTCTTTAGTAACAAAACTTGACGTTTCTAGAGTGCTCTCACTATCTGGATTCAAGCGTTCATTATATAATTTACTGGATTCTTTACTCTGTGCAAACATATCGATTCACTATGTTAAACTATCCGCATGGTAGTCGAAAAAATCAATAAAGTAAAGTTATCCTTTTATAACTAATACCATTATTTCAATAGTTATACACTTTGATACTTTCTATCATTAAATTAACAATATGGTCACTCTTGTTTAATTTAAAATAATAACCGTGAGAAGAAGTTTTCTTGGGATGGATTCGACTATTAAATCTAGTACATAAACTTTTCTTTATATCAATCTATTTTTTGGTTTGACACACTTTTTTGAACATTACCTTAGATTATGGTCATTTTACCTCACTTTTACTTGCTCTATCTTTCTTTATATAAACATTTCTCCTCCTTCGCAGCAAGTCTAATGCTGAAGGGAAAATTAGGCATTATATCGTTTATCGTAAAAACTCATATTTTGCACAATCACAGCGAGGAACTTGAACAGATAATTTCGTTATACTTAACATGGAAACAAAGTAACCTAAACCTTTTCACAATCTTCTATCTATCATTTCTTAAACCACTCTCCTGAACGGATACTCTGTTCTCATTGGTTGATTATTTACTGTCACATCACCTAAATGAGTTTCAAGTCTACTTTTTGCTTCCCACAATAACTGACTCTCTGATCGGCTAATGTCGGCAAGAGACACAGCAGCAAATATAGTATTAATTGTTCTTTTAACCAACTGTTCCAACACAGATTGCTTTGGCTCACGCATTTGCTCCGCTTTCTCAATTTCACGTTTTGAACCTTCAAAAGGAATTGTTTCAGTCGCTTGTACTATTTCTTCTACATTCCTGCTACCCTTCAAATGATCAAGATATTCTCTAGCTGTCAGACTTACTTCTTTTCTGTCTAGATGAGCTTGGAATTTTTTGCTACTTAAATTCATATCAGCATTAATAAGTAAAGGTAAGCCGCCTTCCACACTAATTTTAGTACCAAGCTCATATAATTCTACTCTGGATACTTCTTGACCATTGACTTTTATAAAACCAAGCTCCTTATCTTGCTCTGCTAGAAGTTGACATTCTGTTTTGATTTCTTTTGCTAAAATTTGTTTATCTTCACTTGACAATAACCCATTAGCTCGCTCAATGTCAAAGTGTTCAACAAGGAACCCTTCTTTTTCTACTTTATAGCTAGCAGATTTCATTCCTTTTTCTACAGCATCTATAAGCTGATCAACACTTTTCAATCCAGAAACAAATGCTGTATTGCTATCAAAATAAGCATAATTATCACCTATTCTATAAACTGCAACAACGTGATCACTTGTTACTAAGTGAATAGCAAAATCACCTTTAACTTCAGTTATATAATGTGATAAATTACTAGGTGTTTTATAGTCCTTATTATGCATTAGGTTTGAAGGCAGGCTATTCGTAGAAGAATCTAACTGTTGTTCGAAAACATTAAATAATTTACTAAAAGCAAAAACCTCTCTTTCTTCCATTTTAGATACCTGCTTGCCCTGCACTATACGCTCGTAAATTTCAGCGGAAGTTTCTAAATTACTTAAAAATGACTTGTCACTCTGTAAAAATAAAGCTTGCGATAAGCCACGTGTAATCTCTACACATCTACCATCAATCTCAACCCCACGTGCTTTAAAAGAAGATAAATAAAGCCCTTGTTTCACTGGTTTAATAGATAACGCAAACTTTGATAAGTCTGAAAACACTTCTCGTTGCCTCTTGCTGTAGTGTATTGACTGTATTTGTTTTTTCCTTGTTCCTCGTCTCTGGGATAAATCTCTTGAGCTACCTGCTACTGTGTCTAAAATTTTATCATATTGTCCGTTCTTACTTTGGTTAGTAATACCCTTCCGGGTTTTTCTCTTAATTTTAGAATCACCTTGTTGTAAACTACCCAAGTTTTGTTCTTGCTCTGTTCTACCGGATGCGCTACTCAGGTTAAGATCTGGATTGGTTATTTTATCTTCTTCACTAATATTCTGCTCATCTAAGAAAGCAGAAGGAGCTTTTTTAACTTTTTCTACTTTTTTATATAGTGTATTAAGTATCGTATCCGGTGAGTTATTTTTGATAAGATTATTTAAATAATCCGTTTTACTTCCTGCTTTATCAAAACAAAAACCATGCAATTTTTCAAAGGCAGAACAAATACTAAGTCCTACTCTATGTAACATCCTAGATAAATTTTTTGGTGTAAAAAGTTTTTTCTCGGCTAAGAAGTGATTTAAATAATTCCTTTCATTAAAACATGATTTGTGGAAATTTTTTAAGATAGAAGCTGAATTATTTCCTGCCATGCCTAATATTTTGGATAAGTGTCTTGCCGTAAACCCTACGCTATAGAAATCATTCAAAAGCTGCGTATTGTTCCCTTGCTCATCAAAACAAACATTGTGAAAATCTTTCAGAGCAGAACAAATGCTAGCCCTTGCTCCATGCAGTATATCAGATAATTTGTTAATAGTAAAACCTGCCTGTGAGAAATGGATTAAATACGCTTTTGCTTTTTTTGTGGAACAAAAATCATGAAACTGACCTAAACTACTTACTGATGCGCTTAATATACTGCACAGACTCTGAGGATTAAAACCTATCTTATGAAAATCACTTAAAAGTCCTGTTTCCTTTCCTTTATCGTCAAAAAGAGTATTATGAAATTCTTTTAATCTATGAGAAGTGCGAGATCCTGATCCACATAACATAGAGGATAAGTTACCTGGCTTAAAGCCTGCATCATAGAAATTATTTAAAAGTTCTGTCTCTTCTCCATTGTCGTTAAAACAAACGTCATGTAATTCTTTAAAAGCACTGCTAGCTTTGGCTCCTGCCCCACTTAAAATACCAGACAAGTTACTTATAGTAAAATTCCTTTCCGTATTCTTTTTTTCAGTCAAATGTTTTAAATACTGTTTTTTATTTCCTTGCTTATCAAACCAAAGATCATATAAGTCTTTAAAAGCTTTTGTAGTATTCGCTCCTGCTCCACTTAAAATACTGGACATATTAGGTAAATTTATTCCTTCTTTTTTTAGAGTTTTTAAATATTGTGTTTCATTTCCTTGCTTATCAAACCAAAGATCATATAAGCCTTTAAAAGCCTTTGCACCATTAGCTCCTGCTCCATGTAAGATACTGGACATGCTAGCAAAACTTGTTCCTTCTTTTTCTATAGTTCTCAAATATTGAGTTTTATTTCCTTCTTCATCAAACCACAGATCATATGAGTCTTTAAAAGCTTTTGCACCATTGGCTCCTGCTCCATTCAAAATACTAGATATGCTAGATAGATCTATTCCTTCCTTTTCTAGAGTTTTTAAATATTGTGTTTTATTTCCTTTTTCATTAAACCACAGATCATATAAGTCTTTAAAAGCTTTTGCACCATTAGCTCCTGCTCCACCTAAAATACTAGACACATTAGTAAGATTTATTTCTCCTTTTTCCAGGGTTTTTAAATATTGTGTTTTATTTCCTTCTTCATCAAACCACAGGTCATACAAGTCTTTAAAAGCCTTTGCACCATTAGCTCCTACTCCGTGCAAAATACTGGACATATTAGTTAGATTTATTTTTTCTTTTTTTAAGGTTTTTAAGTATTGTGTTTCATTTCCTTGCTTATCAAACCACAGATCATATAAGTCTTTAAATGCTTTAGGAGCTTTAGCTCCTGCTTTACTTAAAATACCGGGCACATCAGCTAGATTTACTTTTTCTTTTTTTAGAGTTTTTAAATATTGTGTTTCATTTCCTTGCTTATCAAACCACAGATCATATAAGTCTTTAAAAGCCTTTGCACCATTAGCTCCTGCTCCATTTAGAATACTGGATACATTAGTAAGATTTATTTCTTCTTTTTCCAGGGTTTTTAAATATTGTGTTTTATTTCCTTCTTCATCAAACCACAGGTCATACAAGTCTTTAAAAGCCTTTGCACCATTAGCTCCTGCACCATGCAAGATACTGGATATACTAGCAAGACTTATTCCTTCTTTTTCTAGAGTTCTCAAATATTGTGTTTTATTTCCTTGCTCATCAAACCACAGATCATATAAGCCTTTAAAAGCTTTTGCACCATTAGCTCCTACTCTATGCAAAATACTGGATACATTAGTAAGACCCATTCCGCTTTCTTCTAGAGTTTTTAAATATTGTGTTTTATTTCCTTTTTCATTAAACCACAGATCATATAAGTCTTTAAAAGCCTTTGCACCATTAGCTCCTGCTCCACCTAAAATACTAGACACATTAGCAAGATTTATTTCTTCTTTTTCCAGGGTTTTTAAATATTGTGTTTTATTTCCTTCTTCATCAAACCACAGATTATATAAGTCTTTAAACGCTTTGGGAGCTTTAGCTCCTGCTTTACTTAAAATACCGGATAAATTAGTAAGATTTATTTCTTCTTTTCCCAAGGTTTTTAAATATTGTGTTTTATTTCCTTGCCCATCAAACCACAGATCATGTAAGACTTTAAAAGTCTTTGCAGCATTAGCTCTTGCTCCATGCAAAATATTGGATACACTGGCTAAGCCTATTCCTTCTTTTTCTAGAGTTTTTAAATATCGTGTTTTATTTTCTTCTTCATCAAACCATAGGTCATATAAGTCTTTAAAAGCTTTTGCAGCACTAGTTCCTGTTCTGCCTAAGATACTAGAAACACTAGCTAGATTTATTCTTTCTTTTTCTAGAGTTTTTAAATATCGTGTTTTATTTCCTTGCTCATCAAACCATAGATCATATAAGCCTTTAAAAGTCTTTGCAGCATTAGCTCTTGCTTTACTTAAAATACTAGAAACACTAGCTAGATTTATTCTTTCTTTTTCTAGAGTTTTTAAATATCGTGTTTTATTTCCTTGCTCATCAAACCACAGATCATATAAGCCTTTAAAAGCTTTTGTAGCATCAGATCCTGATCCACTTAAAATACTGGACATACTGGATAAGTTTATTCCTTTTCCTTTCAGAACTTCTAGACATTCTTTTCCTTCCCCTGCAATTAAAAAATCTAAGAACTGATTAAATCTAGGTGTCCCTTCTTTACCGGCAACACTTTTAGCAAATCTAATTTCTTCATTAATATTGTGTACATCCACACGCGACCTCTTCAATATTATATCATCTTTGTCTGTAACAGAACGTCTTCGTTTTCTACTCGTTTTACGATTTTCCTTATCTGTACTCCTTGAATGATCGTTTTGCTCGTGTGAGGAATTTTCAATATCTTGTAATGGTGTAGAAATGTAAGATTGAGAAATATTGTTTGCTACCACATTACCGTAAGCTTCCTCTCTAGAAACTTTTATACTTCTCTTTATATCTTTTTCAATATTACTAAGAAGTGGTACAAAATGGTTCCTGTAATTCACTATGTAAATAATATTATTACCTGTACCTACCTTACCTTTAGTAACATGTAATCCATCTATCTCTTTATCTCTCAATTCTATAGTCCTAACTTTGACGCCATACTTTTCGCATATCATTTTTCCTTCAACTTCAGGTCGTCCCCATATAGCATTTTCTAACTTTTGAATTTTTATTCTTGAACCAGAGCATGTATTGTCAATGTCTTCTGTTGTAAATTTAATACGCGGAATATATTCACAAAGTTTTTCACCCTTTCCTTTTAAAGCACTACCCAACCATGAAGCTTTTTTTGTTTCATTAACTTGTTCTGCATATTGCTTACAATATTCCCTCAAAGACTTTACACTAAATCCTTTACTACCTGTAATCACACCTTTATCTTTTAGCTCGTTCAAGCCTTGAGCTATGGAATCAAAGAAACAATCCCCTTCACCTACAGCAGCTCCTATCTTAAAGCCCTCAGGCAATTTTTTCCTTAGTATCTCTAAAAGTTGATTAAGCTTCTTTTTTTCCTCTTCATCACTTGCATTTTTTACCCTACTAAAAATGGAAATAGGATCTCTAGTAACGAAATCTGGCTTGTTTAGAGTGCTCCCACTACTAGGTGATTTACCGGACTCTTTACCCCCTGCTAACATATCGACTCACTATCTTTTTATGAGTAAAACGGTATTTCAATAAGTATCTGTGTCAATATTTTCTGTCTTGTCGCATAAATCTAAAAATGGAGAAGAAGCTGCTATTTAACGAATTCTACTTTCTATTATAAATAGATCTATAGTCTGAAAATGGCAAATTGGCAGAAAATGAATTTGGAATTGTTAATTTTGGTGATATAAGATTAAGTAGGAGACTTTTAAAAATAATTAATAATTTTGCTGAGCGTTTAATAAATCAGGCTTGTGAAGATTGGCATCAAATTAAAGCAGCTTATAGATTTTTCCAAAACGTTGCTATTTCTGAAAGAAAGATATTGAACAATCATATAATTAAAACCGTTGAAAGAGCTAAAAAAAAGCTCAACTATCTTAGCTAAAAAAACCAAAGGATTAGGGACTATAGCAGCAAGATTAACATCTAAAACAACTAACTTTAAAACCCATGATACATACAAGGTTTGCAGTTACAGCAGAAGATCTATTAGATCAATTATAAATTATTAGATCAAAAAATTAGTACTAATACTGCTATTCCTATAAAAGAAAACGAAAGCATCCGATGTCACTTAAAGATTCTACTCACTATCCTGGATTAAAGAACGTTAAGGTAGTAACCGTCGCTTCCACTAATCAATCTCTATTTTTGTAGTAAAAAGAAATCAAAACAGAACAGTAAATACAGTGTAAGGTAAAGAAGGGATACATTCTACCGCTTCAAAGATCTGTATGAAAAGGAGGAGAAATGGAAGAGGATATATAAAAAGCAGTAATTGATATAGCAATAGACTTTCCAGCATAAGGATAAGAAAGAGCAGCAAACAAACTGGAAAAGAGTGGAATTCTCACCTCTGCAAGTGGAATAAGATCGGTGTGGCAAAGAAATGTTTTTGACAATTTCAAAAAGAAGTGAAAGGCATTCAAAGACGGCAAGATCTTAACAGAAAAGCAGACAACAGCTCTAGAGAAGGCTGAGAAAGGAAAAGAGGCCCATGGAGAAATTGAAACAGAACATTCTGGATACTTGAGTGGCAGAGATAGCTGTAATAACAAAGGTATTGGATACTAGTACAGTGTACTGTGGCAGACCTGAAAATCACGCTTACCAGCTGTATTTGAGGATATTGATCATTCTCAAACTTAAGCTCGTTCTCAACAAACTAATGGCATATGTGAAAAATTTTACAGAACTATGGAAGATCAATATTATCTTCAGAAAGAAAATTTACACCTCTTTGGTAGAACTTCAGCTAGATATAGGATGCAAAAAGTTGCAGTTAGGATAACAAGTATTTTCTAAATTAGCTGAAGAAGCTTCTGAAGAGACACTTCGTAAAGTTGGTGATACTTTGCCACATTCAAGTCTCAGTCTAACTGATACCACATATAATATAAAATCTTTAGGCAATAGCAAATAGGAGAATCATATGCCAAAAAAATGTGAAGTCATATGAATTGGTACAACTTTTGTTAATGAAAAATAGATCAAAAAATAAGTTTTATTCTTATATTTAATTATTCGCAAATAATTTTTTTAACTGCAAGTATCAATTATATTATATTTTTTAATTGTTAAATTCCATTACTATTATTTTGTAGAATCATTGTTTATGGTTGCACTCATATACTGCCTGTTTAGAGATTAGATTACAGAGCCTGCATGGAAATATGATGTTAGTTTGCATTTCGAGTGCTAGTAATGCTAGGTATTAGCATTACTAGCACTCGTAGACCATTAAGGTCCATTGCAATATCAGATCTTAGTCTTAATTTTAGCGATTGTGACCATCACTTAGGATGCGCGAATTTATTAGCGAATTTTATTAGGGTTTCAACAGAAATCTTAGATATGTTTTCAAGTTCGGTAAAACTGACAGCCCCCAAGTATTTTTGTCGAGTTCTCGAGAGGTCCGAGCAGTTACACAACAGATGTTCTCTTGCATTCGGCTCGTTGTATTTCCTACAGCAACGCTCTGAATTGGGTTTTTAGTTTGTGCGCATGTGTTGCGATCAGACAGTGACCTGTCAACCCAACAATTAATGTTCTACAATTTCTTCGGTTAGACAATATAACATCCTTGGTGTACTTTTCTTCGTATATGTGTGTACACATGATTCTAGCTATTCTACAGGTGCTTAAGTTTCGTCACCTTTCCTTTGCTCTTATTGTCATGTGTTCGTCCAGAATTTCCAGTATTTGTTTCAGAGGTCTGAGTACTTTGCTCGTTTGTTGATCTGAAAGTTTTGCGCCATTTTTAGCAATAGCATCAACTGTCTCATTTCCCAGTACTGCTAATTCTTATTTTCCTAACAAATAAATTTGCTATAGTATTTGAAACTGCATTTAACTAGTTTCTTCCTGTTAAGAAAATACTCGACAGTGAGAATTGTTTTCAATGAACATGAATTGCAAATATAATTCAGTAAAATTAATTAAAATTTTTTATTAAATTATAAACAAATATTAATATTATTATTTTTTTTGTTTTTTTTTTTTTTGTTTTGTGTGAAAGTGAAGTGACAAAAGAATTTATGCGAAAACAAGCAAATAATTTGTTAAAATTAATTTATGGGAGGTGAGAAGACAAAAAAATCGGTATTAAATTACCGGATGCATTACAAAAAATTTTAAAAACAATATGAGAAGTAAAAAAGTTAAATAAATAAACATATAAATTTGCACAAATATGTTAATACTTTAATAATTAAATTCAGTGTTGCAAGCTAAACAAACGCAAATATTTGATCAAAAAGGGAAAATTTTAACAAGCAAAACAATTGTTGGTTTTATGTTAAAGTTAATGTGTGAATTTTAACTGAAAATATTAACATACATACGCGTACATACCCACTTTAATCGATAAACAAACTGATAAGGCCAAAATTCAACACTTTTAAGTTTAAATAAACAGAAAGTATCTCATGTGGAGGAGCAAACTTGCAATTTGTTTATTTTACTGCATTTGCGTTTGCGTTTCAGCGTTTAAGCGTTGAGTTTGCGTTTGCATTCTCGGCGCCAACGTAGCCGCCTTACAAATCATTAACAATAACAATTGTTGCTCATTAATATGAACTGTTGCAGCAGCTGCAGTTGCAAGTGCAGTTGCAAGTGCAAGTGCAGTTGAAAGTGCAGTTGCAGTTGGTGTATGTGGATCTGGCACGTATCTGTATCTGTCCCTGTATTTATTGTTAAAATCAGAATGGACAAATATTTTCCAAATTATAATTATTTTCTTTTGTATGAGCAAAAGCATGCATTCACTTGCAATGCAATCAGTCGCTTTTTATGACTTAATTAGTAACAAAAAAAGCAAATGCAGTATATATTTTTTAAAACAAATTTAAATTAATTTTTATTGTATTTCATATCACCAAATAAGAGATAAGATTTAATAATAAGGCTTTGGTTTGATGCAAAGCTATGTTGAGCTCTTTCACAAGACTTTCGTCAGTATTCCATTTGCTATATTAGTTTATAAAGAGGTTTTCGAACAGAAGTGAAACAACAACAAAAATTTATTTTTTAAATAATTTTAATTAATTGAATTTTTGGCTGACCATACAGCTGTTTCGTATATTGCCAAATACCCTTCATCAGTGGTCTTGGAAATAATTCTTATATTTAATTACTCAAAAATAAATATTTATTTTTGAGACTACAAGTACCAGGAATCGAACTCGGGTCCTGCCAAATATGAAGCTCAGAATCAGCGCACCTTAACCAACTGATCCAAAGCCGTACTTGACTGCAACCAATTACAGAGTCCGCTACATAAATATATATTTGAATAATATATATGACTATATACACTTTCATATGCATTGTATTGTACCATATATATATGGTATATGGATTCAGACTTTATGTTTTTGGGAAAAATTTTAGTGTTTTGTGCAATTGAGTTTTTAATTATCTGGTATGCCAATCTTATTTTACTTCTATTATTAAATTTAACTAACATACAGACTTTGTGTCTGTTGAATAGAACAACAATAAAGGCAAATAATTACTTTTTGATTATAAAACTGGCACAGAATTCGTTTAATTATATTTGCCTAAAAACGAAGTTTAATATATAAACAAACTGGGTATATTTTTGCATAATTGAGTTCCTTTGTTTTCCGAAATTGTTTTTCTTTTTACAGAAAATAATAATAATAATAGAAATAAACTGCACAAACGTTATAGTCTCCTCTCTCATAGCAGGTAAAAATTTTAGAGCATCAAATAAAAATTTGACCTAAAATAAAATAAAAACCATAAATTCATAAGTGCAGCAGCAGGAAAGGAGCAAATGTATTTTAGAAATTCAAGAAATAATAATACAAAAAACAAAAAAAAACAATTTTTACTAAGAGTTATTTTTGGTTGTTAATAAAAACTTCTACAGCAGCAACTCAGTTGGGAGTTCCTTAGAGCATATATCATACCTGGCCAAAAAATAAATTTAATAACAATGAGAAATAAAATAAAAATTCCAACAATAAACGTAATACCCATGACATTTGTAGTTATAAGCATTCAAGTAGAATCCATACAGTAAAATAAATTGTTTTTTTTTTTTTATTACAACAAGAAACATCAAAGGCAAAAGATAGTATTGAACAGCAGGTAAGAAAATCGAGTACCCTACACTCGTCAGTCAAGACTTCCATGCAATATAGCAAGACAATTGTTTTTTTTTATGATTCATGTGGCTTACTACAAAAAAAGAAAAATTTATTTTGGTATACAGATATACCTGTGCCGAGACCCTTTAATATTTGTATAACATCAGTCTATTATAATTAGATATCTCATTTAGTTTCACAAGATATCTTTAAAACGTAGTACATTTTACTGCTTAAAAAACAGCAATCTTTATTGCATTCATATTACTGCAATTTATATTACTTAATTTTAATATAAGCTAAGATTTATATAAGCTATATAAGCAGTATGTATATAAAAACAAATTAAATAATTAAATTTAAAAATTAAAATCCAAACAAATATGAATATAAAGTTGAAGACTAAATCTTTTTACTGCAATACTCGTCAGACAAAAATTTATATACGAAAGAGCAGATAAAATTTTCCAGGGTAATCATGGAAAAAACCCAAATGATAGCTATTGCACATGTTATTTGCCTTTCTTGAAACAGTAAAAAATATTAGTAATAACTGCAGAGATCAAGCTAAATAAATAAATCTATAATAATGAACATTTCTCATAGCACCTAGCTAAGTTTTGTGGATGTACTCTTTTCATTGGTCCAGAACCCTTCTGCGGAATAACAAATAGCTTCACAAATAACTAACT